CACCAGTCTTAAACTCTCAAGCCCCGTTCACACCAAGAACGTTAACTATAAAGATAACGATATTAGCGTCCACACCAGCGAACGATATCGTCTGTTTATTCTAAGCGCACGCTCGTCTGCCTCTTAAATTCTCAAGCTCGTTACAGCAGGATGGATTCTGATTGGCTGTCAATGTTTTTTATCATTCATCAGCTGGAAAAAATTTTTTGAAAGTGATTCCAACTATATAGTTTCTCTTTGTCTTTATCGTTATAGTTGTGGTGTGGACTTTGCTATTCTATTTTTAGAACTATATCTTTATCGTTATCTTTATAGTTATCGTGCTTGGTGTGAATGGGCCTTTATCCTCTCTTTTCAGGTTTATAGTGTCAGAATTTGAGGCCACCATCACTCAAATCACCGGTATGACAGTTGTTTGATTAGATTCAGTACATTATTTTAAAGGCAGTATGTCAGATAATAACACACTCCTGTGTGTTTACAGTTGAGCATAAACAGAAGGAAGATTTGGCCAAAATTGAGTTAGAGCGAGTCCTCCAGGAAAAAGACCAGCTGTCCAAAGATTTGAATGAGTTGGAGAGATCCTTCTCCTCAGTTGTCAAACGCCTTGACAGATGCAAGGAAGTCATTGAAGGATTCAAAAAGGTATGCTTTTTAGACTTCTGAATCAAGACTTCATCTCAAATCAAGATGTTATTTTAGTGTATAATGGTCTTTTTTTTTTTTGCCCCACTTTCTCTTCTATAGAATGAGGAAACTCTGAAGCAGTATGCGCAGAACTGCATGGACAGACTGCAGAAAGAGGAAAAGCGATATCAAGCTTTGAAGGCCCATGCTGAGGAGAAACTAGATCAGTATGTGCTTATCAAGCAGTCTGAAACGCATTCTCTTATGAATGTGATAATCCAATCTTGCATAATTGATAAATATGCCTGGAAGCGTCACTAATAGCACTGATGTTGTTTCAGAGCGAATAAGGCCATAAATGAGGTTCGTACTAAACAGGGTGCAGAAGTGGCAGCACTGCAGGTGCAGCTCAAAAGAGAACAGCTGAAAGTTCAGTCCCTAGAAAAGGATCTGGAACAAAAGGTAAATGCACGCGCACACACACAGTGGTGTTCTTTTTGAGTGTAATTCTGAATTGCTTTTAAAAAAGTAAAGTGTTTTTCCAGTTAGTTGTGATTTTACTGGATCGATCGAATTGTGTGGGACCCCTGATGCATGACTGACATTTGAACAGCACACCAGTCTTAAACTCTCAAGCCCCGTTCACACCAAGAACGTTAACTATAAAGATAACGATATTAGCGTCCACACCAGCGAACGATATCGTCTGTTTATTCTAAGCGCACGCTCGTCTGCCTCTTAAATTCTCAAGCTCGTTACAGCAGGATGGATTCTGATTGGCTGTCAATGTTTTTTATCATTCATCAGCTGGAAAAAATTTTTTGAAAGTGATTCCAACTATATAGTTTCTCTTTGTCTTTATCGTTATAGTTGTGGTGTGGACTTTGCTATTCTATTTTTAGAACTATATCTTTATCGTTATCTTTATAGTTATCGTGCTTGGTGTGAATGGGCCTTTATCCTCTCTTTTCAGGTTTATAGTGTCAGAATTTGAGGCCACCATCACTCAAATCACCGGTATGACAGTTGTTTGATTAGATTCAGTACATTATTTTAAAGGCAGTATGTCAGATAATAACACACTCCTGTGTGTTTACAGTTGAGCATAAACAGAAGGAAGATTTGGCCAAAATTGAGTTAGAGCGAGTCCTCCAGGAAAAAGACCAGCTGTCCAAAGATTTGAATGAGTTGGAGAGATCCTTCTCCTCAGTTGTCAAACGCCTTGACAGATGCAAGGAAGTCATTGAAGGATTCAAAAAGGTATGCTTTTTAGACTTCTGAATCAAGACTTCATCTCAAATCAAGATGTTATTTTAGTGTATAATGGTCTTTTTTTTTTTTGCCCCACTTTCTCTTCTATAGAATGAGGAAACTCTGAAGCAGTATGCGCAGAACTGCATGGACAGACTGCAGAAAGAGGAAAAGCGATATCAAGCTTTGAAGGCCCATGCTGAGGAGAAACTAGATCAGTATGTGCTTATCAAGCAGTCTGAAACGCATTCTCTTATGAATGTGATAATCCAATCTTGCATAATTGATAAATATGCCTGGAAGCGTCACTAATAGCACTGATGTTGTTTCAGAGCGAATAAGGCCATAAATGAGGTTCGTACTAAACAGGGTGCAGAAGTGGCAGCACTGCAGGTGCAGCTCAAAAGAGAACAGCTGAAAGTTCAGTCCCTAGAAAAGGATCTGGAACAAAAGGTAAATGCACGCGCACACACACAGTGGTGTTCTTTTTGAGTGTAATTCTGAATTGCTTTTAAAAAAGTTATGTAACATCTATAATGTGACTATTTTCTCTTCTCAGGCTAAAGAAGTCAAAGATGTCACAGAACTGTGTGATGATCTGCTACTTAAAGTGCAAAAGCATGGTTTTTAGTGTATTTTGTGTTCATTATTTGTGTTTTGTTCGTTATTTGTATTTGTTCTCACCAATTATTGTAATAAATAAAAAAATAAATGTTTGAAAACAAACCTTTGTTTTGACGCGAGTCCCCATAACCAACAGTTTTAATGTTTCACTTTTTGAAAGGTTTTTTTTTTTTTTTCAAATCTTTGCATAGCTATGACGGGAAGCATCTAACAATGCCTTGGGGGGGAAAAAAAGTAAATCTTAAAAAATAAAGCATATAAAGTACATAAACCCAAATAGGAAATAAAACAGTTATTGAATAAGCATGTGTCCTATTTTGAGTTCTAAACTCCTGAAACATTGGTGTCTTGTATTTTAGAGCAGTCAATGCAATTTGGGAAAGAAATCAATCAAATCTGTATACGTGTGAAAATATTCAGAGATGTAACCCCCTTTGTAATGGTTAACATTTTCATAAGTAGCTGTAATTTAATTACCAATTTTTTTCTCAGTAACTGTAACTGATTACAGTTACATTTATTTTGTAATTAAATTACGTAATTCTGTTACATAGAACTAGTTACTCCAACACTGGTAGTCATTTTCATATATTTAAAAAAAAAAAAAAAAAAAGACAATTGATCCAGTTCAGGATTTTTATATATGGAAATGACAACATTTATCCAACAGTCTCTCACACGCAACTTAAACAGAGATCATGCCAGTATGCCCTTGTGTATTTCTAAACATACTACTGATAAAAATTAAATATTCAATAACAAATACATACATTATTCTGTGCTGCACTGATACAATGTTAAGACACTGTAGCTGATCATAGAGACTCATGCTGCAAAACACCAAGGGCAAATAAGCACAAAGAATCCAGCAGTGACATCACAGAGCATTTCATTATTCACACAATAAAAATGTCACATCAGCACATTCAAGTTCCCATGGCCTGAGCTCAGATTCCGCATGTTTCTTTAATGTAAAAACGACACCATCTGTAAATAATCCCTAGTCAGACACAACAGAAGTTAAAATGAGGCCTAAAACTTTCAGCTTTTATTCTATTTTGATAAAAATGTCATGACATTCTACTGCGGTGACAGTGATACAGCACAATCTGCAGTACAGTGTGATCTTCCAACCGAACCTTAAACAGTAGTCATAAGTCTGTGCCTACAACAGTCATTCTCATAATACAAACACAAGCATTCTATTGTAAACAACACTTCAAGCATGTTTCAAAAATAAAATTAATTCATTTATGTTTATTAAATAGCCACAAAAATGCTCTGAATGCAACAATCAAAGATCTGGATGATCTAAGTTTTATACAGTCAATTAGTCGATAATACTGAACCACAATTCAGTAATCCAAGATTTTCTCCAAACCTTTTTTGGTATGTAACGGCATTGCGCTGGATCTCAGTAGCTTAGGACAAGGACACATGGAGCCAGCCATTATTCAACCTTGGATTCAAAAATCCATGTAAACTCAGATTGATTTACTCTGTCAAGCATTTTAATATTTAGACCACGGTAAAATATTACTTTCTAAAATGAGAAAATTATACAGTATAACATGTTAAAATATCCCTTAAGATAAATGTCACTATTTTAACTACGTCATCTAAAATTACTCCCTTTTGAGCAGACTAACTTTTTTTGTGCTTCTACACTGACTTATGCTACAGTATATGCTGCATTATAGTGCATTATAGTCTTAACATTTCAATGCATTAGAGTGATACAGCTTCATAAGAGACTTCTAGAGTAATTTCGATCACCAGTAGTAGCAGATATCCTTAAGTATTACTCTAGTTGCAAGCTCACAAGGTAGATCACACGAGTTGGAAATAAAACTTAACAGATGATGGGCAACTATGTTTGATGACAGGTTTCCACTATATGCAAGTGAGCTCTCATGTTTATGAAGATGTGAGAAGATGGTGGTCTTTATTCGAAGCTTAGATCAGAGCAGAAGTGCTTTTTGAATTAGAGTCTAAGAAATTTGGTCTACAAAAGGATATTCTGGGTTCAATACCTGGAAAAGTGAAGCTTAACTAGCAGCAATTGTGGCAAAAGTTCATAATCACAAAAAACAGTTCCTCATTATTAAGAAAGAAAGAAAGAAAGTAAATGAGTCTATTTTTTTTAAACGGTTTAAAGCAATGGTTCAGCCAGAAATGACAGTTCTGTCATTTATTTCAAGTAGTTTCATGACTTGCATGACTTTCTTCTGTGGAACATAAAAGGTAATATTTTGAAGAATGTTGGTAAACGAACACTTTCTGTTCCCATTGACTTCCATTGTATTTTTTGTCCTTACAATGCAAGTTAATGGGAACTGAAATTACCAACATTCTTTAAAATATCTTCTTTTGAGTTCCACAGAAGAAATAAAGTCACACATGTTGAGTAAATGATGACAGAATGTGAAGCTGCTAATTTTATAAAATCACTTACTGTATGTTAATTCTGTTATTTTTCAACTGTAAAGGTGCTGAAATTATTAGAATTTATAAGTCCATTGTGATGGTAAAAATGTCAAATTGGCTATAAATTTATATAGAAAAGATTAAACGATTTATTTCGTGCTAAAATCATTTTAACACACATACTATTTAGTTCTTGTGGCTACACAATTCAAATAGTATTTTAGTGTTTACAGACTGGCCACATTCATGTCAACTGTAAGTGCCTTACCGAAACAGATTATTTTTTTAAAGAAAAGGCGCGAAAAGTGAAAATAAATTTTGGTGGTAATCAACATTATGCCACAAATGCTGTCAACATTACTTCTACCATTTCTGCTATCTCAATTGGCAAGTACATGCTAGTGTACAAGTGTGCAATTATGCTTTTTAATGTAGTTTGCCGATTTGATGGGGTAGCAGCCTAAGTGTGCTAATGATCATTTACAGATATTCAGCCAGTGAACGATTTTATCACGTATCATGGTTTTGTAGAGGGCTGTTAAATACGCAGAATCTCGAGCGTCATATTCAAGTAATTTTCACAATTCTGTATCCTACCAGTAACTTGCAAGACCCCTCGGCTAAAGATGTCTCCCTCGATTGAGAGTTATGTTGATGGAAGCGAAAACATCTATTTGATCATGGGGTCATCACCTCCTGGAGAGGTTAGGACGGGGAAGTCCACAAAGGGTTCGGTTTTGTCCTCCTGGGGCGAGTTGGCGGTACCGTCTGGCATGGAGCTAAAGGTCAGATGGTCATGTTCCATGATGGCCAGACGGTCCTGGGGCTTCTCCTTCTTCAGATAAAACATCTTCCTCAGCTGCTTCAACTGCTGCAGCTCACAGAAAGTCTCCAACACCACCAGCATGGCAATCAGGCCGAGGAGGAGATACACTGTGGGACACGAAGGGAAGAAAGAAATGGAGAAATAAAGGAATGTAATTCATGAAAATATACATTATCACATAACAAAATACAACACAAAATAGGTTAGGTTGCAATTGCAATCCGCATCGGATTCATGCGATGGCGCCGCAGACGGCAGCCTCAGTGTTTGGCTCTCCAGTGTTTGTACTGTTTTTGTAAGTTTTTCCTGCTTTTTGTTTCTCAAACACGATCAGTTTTACCAGGGATGAGCTGCTGAACATTCGGCAGAACACACCACACAATCTTCTACCGGATTTCGTTTATTCGGACGTTTTACTGAACGTTGTAGTCGGCGGAGCTGCTGTGCTGATCAAGCGCTTCAGGATGCACAGACGGGGGAAGCGAGCCGGCGTGCTCGTGAGGCTCAGGAAGCGCAGATTCAGAACGCCGTTGCCCAGCATCCATATGGTGAATCTCCGCTCTCTACCCACAAATAAGGATTTTTCACACTCTGCTGCTCTGTGTTTCACGGAAACCTGGCTGAATGACGCCATACGCCAGCGCGGTTAAATCTGCCGGGCTTTCTTTCATTCTTCTTTCTTCTTGTGTTAACCTTACAGGAAAGTGTGTACATAAAAAATGACATGGGCCACAAAAAAAACTCTTTTGGCCACCCCAAGGATCATGAATACGATTATTTTAGCCTGCATCTTATCTTTCATCTCAGCAACATCATGAAATTAATACAGAAAGATTCAGAGCTAAAGAAGAAAACTCAGCATGTGTGGGCCTCACGAATGCCACATCCTCCACAATTATGCTACGACAGCAAATCTTTCTCACCGTCCCACGCACACCAAACAGAAAGACGGGACCATCTGCATCAACTAAACCCACACAAGCACGAAAGCCATGTGTCATTTTCATGCAACTTTTTGAAAATGAGAGCTGTACTGCTTCATAAGTAAGACAAACACTAAATGGAACAGTAGAGCAGCAGTGAAAGAACAGTTTATACTCTTGAATCACATGCACTTCCTTTTTACCTTCCATCTGTTTCTATGACAACAGGCCAGACTTACACATTAAGATGTGTAGATACATAAAAGGAAGTCAGCTGAATTTCACTTACGAGAAGAGGAAGTGAACAGACTAGGCATGTTTACTCAATAAAATACGTTACTATGAGAAATAATGGCTTATTGTTGAGAAGTATAAGAACCTTTAAACTGGACCACAATGTTAACGATATTTTATTAACCAAAAACGGACATTAAAAGGAATGATCTATCTAAAAAAAGACTTTTTCATCAATTATTCACCCTCATGTCATTTCAAACCAGTTTCAATTCTCACTGGCTTTCACTACATTTTTTGTCCATACAATGCAAGTCAATGGAAACCGAGACTGTTTGGTTACCAACATACTTTAAAATATTTTTTTTATGATGTAACAGAATTATCATTTTTGGATGGACTTTCCCTTTAAATTAGCTTACATGACAAATAAACCACAGAACGTTTACTATACAGCATTTCCGAGACTTCTGAATGTTTTTTAAAGGAGACCTATTATGCCACTTTTTACATTATGTAATATAAGTCTCTGGTGTCCCCAGAATGTGTCTGTGAAGTTTATGCTCAAAATACCCCACAGATCATTTATTATATAATTTTGAAAATGCCTATTTTGAGCAGAAGCAGAAACATGCTGTTTTCATTCATGTCTCTTTAAATGCAAATGCTGCTCCTTGCCCCCTTTTCAAGAATAGAGATGTGGCTTTACAGCTCTTACCTCAGATACTCTGCCAAAAAACATCTGTTTGGTTTTGATTATCATGTCTATCGCGCTGAAATTATGCATTTTAAACCATATTAGTTTGAACTTCTGATAAACGGTTTTCTGAGCGCACACATCCGAAGCATGCGCACAGAAAGTGGCTGTCACACAGCATTTGAGTACTAAACTTGGAAAGTTCTCTTTCATGTCTTACTGTGCTTAAACTGTCAAATACACACAAGTTTATGTTAAAAACACACACAAGTTACAAAAACAGTCGGTTATGTCTGTGAAGGTAAAGAAATCGCATGTTTATATTAGATCTGTGTGGCAACAGCATAATATACAGTAAATAAATAAATAAATTAGCTGCTCTCTTGTCTCCTCTGAGGCTGGGACTCTAAACAGTGTTCTGTGCTCGTCAGTGCAGCCAAAGACAGAACATTTAGCATGCTTTGCTCAAACTTTCGCCATGGCGTTAGAACTACTACAACGATGTCGCTTGCAAAAACACAATTAAAGGGCGGCAATATTATAAAAATATTATCCCTTTCTACGTCATGGGGGAGCACAATCTGACGCAATCTCACTTAAACATGGAAAAAGTCAAATTTTCATGATATGTCACCTTTGATACACACTTATTTATAAATATTCAAGCTTTCAACTTCAAATGCCCTCTCAAGGACTATATTCTATTTGTTAAAACCAGTTAAACTCTGCGGCCAAAATGGCGTTAAAAATGTTTATGCTTCATTTACATAGCCTTCCTTATATGGTATCAGCCCATATATGGGTTCATTTGAAAGCTTGGAGTGTCTTCTTTACAAATAATACCATTCCTTTTGGTTTTTATATTCATAAAGCAGTAACATTAAGCTTAGAAATGTATTCGTCCCACACACGAATTTCCGCCTAACCATTGCAAAAACGCCCTGAGCTTAAGTGGTTTTAAAATCATATACTTCCCTACAAAACTCTATATGAAGAGTTCATTTGCAATGTGCATTATTCTCCACATATAGCGCGATCTGAACCCTAAACACGTTTTGTCAAAAAAGCCAGTTTTGTCCACTTTCCAGGCATCGCGAGTTCACGTTTTACTGCAGAAGCCGACAAGCGCCCTTGTTGTCTTTGAACAGAAACCGATAAGTCCATTTTAGCGAATCAGCGCGCTGTATTCAGGTCAGGTGACAAGGCTACTTTCACTTTGAAAAGACGTGCTAGCTGAGAGGAGTTTCGTCAAAGCTGACTAAAAGTGATCGAGGATGGATAATTTCG